AAATAAAAAAATCTCTTTTCTGCTTTAAAAAGAAATTTTCTGCTTTAACAAGAGTATTTTTATTCTTAAAATTTATTTTAAAGCAAAGAATTTGCGTTTTTGAATATTATTAATTTTACTAAAACTACTATATTTTTCAAAACTATTAATTTATAAATTAACTAATTAATTAACTAATTAATTTTTAATAATTTTACTTATTAATTAATTTACTAATTAATTATTAATTTTATTTATTTATTAATTTATTATTTATAACTTATTTTTTAAATATTACAATTTTTTTAACAAGTAAGTCAAGGTCAAAATCATTGGGGGGAGCTTCCCTTTATTTTTACCTGGAAATTAATAGTTAAAAAAATAGGTAGGTTACACATTTTTCGATCTCTTCTAGTAGATTATCAGTATTAGAGTTGCAACAAAGATTGCATTATCAAGATTGCAAGAAAAAAAACCATTAAAATTCGGAAAGAACCTTATTGTAAAAATAAAATTATAGTAAAATTTTATAATTATATACAATTTATAAAATCAATGTTGTATGTACATTGTAATATTTAAATTGTGTACTTTTCATGCATAATGTCTATGCATAATTTACAACATCGCATTAAACTTTTCTGCGTAACTTTTTTGGATAAACTTGTAACTGTTTCGACAATGTGATTGTGTAAGATATTTAAATATGATGTATTATCAAAGCAATTACAAATATACCTCTCAAAATAATTTGCAATGCGCAATAAAATTTATTGCGACGTGCAAGATTGTGCATAGATATAAATAAGGCACAATTTGAACAATTATTATGACATATATAGGATTAATTTTACAAATTATAAATTATATGAATTGATAATTATAAAATTACACTGTTGTATACGCATTTTAGTTTTCATTAATAAAAATTAATATGAATTACATAGTTAATAATTTTATAATATTTATAAGTTACTAATTCATACTATTTTAATAAAATGTTTAATATTGACTTGAATGAGTTTTAAATACTAACGACTAACAGTAGCTACTTATTTGTTAAATGTAGGATAAATACATGTCATTTGTTAACTACTAGTTTTTCCGAATTATTTTTCTAAAACGTTAACATGAGCTTGAATGAATTCTACTTAGATATTAATAATAAGTATTGCTTATCTTGTTGAATATTTATAAGACAGATACATATTATTTCTTAACTATTTATTATTTGATAACTTCATTTTTACATATATGATATGAAATTGTGACAGTAAATTTCTTAAAGAAATACCATGAAAATCTTGTACTTGCATCATGTAAAAATGAATATGTTGTAAAAAGGAGTGTTATTGCACAATGCATTTACAGAAACATTAATAATTTTATCTTGATTTATGTAATCTTTATTTTATTATCAATATTAACAAGAAGGGCGATAATTGGCTTGTAGTATTTGTACGTTGTATTGCACATCTGAACGCGCGAACTTTAGGCGATATTCACCAAATAATAGCTTGTAATTCAAAAACTATTGTAGCATTAATATTTTGTTTTTGTCTCAAACTCTCAGGAACTTGCCTTTAAGCATTGTTACGATCACTACAGAACACCCTCTGAAAGTATCAATTAATGATTTTAAGTTCATTGAAAGATTTTTATTTATTTCAAACGTATTTATTATTTCAACAATTTTTCTCAAGGATATTCTTTAATATCTCAATCAATTATACTCGAATTAGCCTGACAAACAGAGCTCTGTTGCGAACAACGCTGATAGTAATAAAGCACATGCCTATTCGCGACGCCTGGCTATCGTAATATGTGTGTACATATATGCGTTCAAATTTATGTAACAATAACGAGTAATGTAACTAGTATCATGTATTCATACACATAATAATCATAATTGAGCACCGCGCGGTCCATTCTCGTTCAATACTTTTAGCGTTGAAAATATGCATTCATAATAAGCTTAATCAGTTCTAAACTAAATTTTATAACAATGTATATATATATATATATATATATATATTGTATATATATATATATATATTGTATATATATATATATGTGTATGTATATATTTTTCGTGATAGATTTTCTAGAAACTGTATTTTCAAGTGTTATAGTATATCCTGTCGAAAATTTCCAAGTGGATTCCCATGGAAACTTATGAAGATCCATATAGGTTATTCAAAATCCATATGGAAATTCTTGTGGTGAATGAAAATACATATGGAAATGTACATGATGTATAAAAATCAATACGGAAATCTATATAATATGTGAAAAATCATATGGCGTATAAAGAACTAGGGATGCATCACATAAAATTACCGGATATCGGATATTCGAGAAAGCAATTTTTCGAATCGAATATCCGAGAAAGTATCTCTTAAAAAAACAAAATCTATAGGGAAAAAGATTGTAATTTTGCAACAATGTAAATATTATAGCATCATGAATATGCATGAATACTTATTTCTAGAACATTTGTATAAGAAAAAATCAATAATTTAATAATATCAAATTTCAACCGGATATATTCCCGGATACTAACAAAGAGGTATACATTTATATGTAGAGTAGGGTTGCCAGCTAAGAATGCGTGAGCGAATAGAAAGAAACAGAGAACGAGATGGCCACCAGCATCCTTGTTTAATCGTGCATGCGCTGTTGATTTTCACTGTGGGGAAATTTCAGAGCAAGAGCAATGTATCAATGCTCCTCTCAGCTTTCAAAGTTCTATGCGCGGCGCAACTTTAGAAAAAGATAAAGATGGCCATCCCGTATTCTTTCCCTTTCTATTGTCTAACATTTCCACTATTAGAGGTTCTTGTGCCTTGCCTACTCTATATATACAACCTCTTTGGATATTAATGATATCCGGCTATCTGGATTGTAAAAAAAGTGCCGGATAATACTGGATACTAAATATTGAATACTTTCCGGATATCCGGTGCATTCCTATAAAGAACCATATGGAAATTCACATAGTAGGTATGAAAATATGATAATCTGTATAAACAATAAGAATCTTATTAGTTCATGTGAAAACAACCAATAGGAAATAAAAACCCAAACAATTGAAGTTGGATCTATAATGTCTTAAATAATGTAATTCTTGTGAATTTATTATATGTATACTATATATGTACAGTCGTGGATATAACAGTTGCAACACTTTTTTTTCAATCGAGTTCTGAATGCAGTCTGCTCACCAAGCGATTGGTTCTTATTTATATAATAGATCATAAATAAAGCCTGCGGCACACGATGCTTGTTTTCCTGCTGGATTCCTAGCTGGATTAGATACACCTTGCCATCGTATTGGCTGTGGTATTGACAGTGTTAGCATCGTTAATACGATGACAAAAATTTATTCTAGCTAGCAATTCAACAAGAAAACAAGCATCGTTTGCCACCGGCTTAAGAACCAATCGCTCAGTGAGCGTATTCCGAAACTCTTTGAAAAAAAGTATTGCAATCGTTCTGCCCACGACTATACATGCATATATATCATATTTGTAATAATTTGAATTGCGCATCAAAATTTTTTCGGATTTTTTAAAATAGAGAAAGACAGAACTATTATAGTAATATCACAAATAAAATTCTTATTGTTTATATTACGTCGTATAAAAAAGACGTTTGTTTCCACACATATATTGATTATTGCGAAGAATATTGCTAAGACCTTGATGTAAAGGCTTAGGATCACGACACAAAGAAAAATTTAAGATTTAATTTAATCAACCAATTATAGTACAGACTGTAAAACGTGAACAGTATCGAATCTAACATGTTGATTTCCTTAATTCTTTATCAATTTGTTTAAATCTTACGTCTTAAATATTTTTATGTACTAGGACCTTTAGGACGCTCGCACGGAATTCAAGTTTGACTCTCGGCCGAGGTAATATTTTTTGCAATAAATAAATTTATTTACAGATTTTCAGCATATTAAAATCTCTTTAATAGATGTCTATTGAGCAAATTTAATTGTAATATTACTACAGTAGTTCTGCTGTGTTTTAAAAAGTCCGGAAGAATTTCGGCGTGCAGTTCAAATGACTACAAACATTGTATGTATGTATGTACGTATATAGTATATGCAAATTCACATGGAATTAATTAAAGCATTGAATCTAGCTTCGACTATTATGGGTATTTATTTCCTATTGGTTGTAATTTATATAATTTTTATATGCATTTTTTATAATTTTTTAATTTAATTTTTCGAAAACTTTCTTGCTATATATAATATTTTGAGTCGCGAACTTTAGGAATCTAATCCATTTCAATGGATACTTATATTATGTGAAGATTCACGTAGGAATCAACATGATTTCTTAGGAATCCACATAGGACCTAATTTTTTTATTCAAATTCTCATGGAATATGAAATTTCAAATGAATTTTCCATATGGGTTTCTCTACCTGGTTTTTTTCGATAGGGTAATATGAGGTACATATGTTACCACAGAAAATTCTGAAGCTGGAATTTGGAGCTATAACGCAGGAAGGGTTGTTAATTCATTCATGTATAGATTAACTCTAAAAATTTCAAAACTTTTTGATTTCAATTTCTTTTTTTTTTTTAATTTGAGAGGGGGACTTTAATGATTCTCTAATACAATTGTTATGGCGAGTATAAGCCGCGCGGAATAATGAAGTGAGAGTGTAAATTATTAAATATTTCATTGATGAGAAGAAAAGCATAACGACGTCATTATTGTTAGCGTAAGATATCTAGAATTATTATTATTTTACTTATATATATTATTACGATTACTATTATCATTATTGTCATTTTCATTATTAATAGTATAATTTTATTAATATCAATTATTATTTATAATTATTATGAATCGCGTACGTGCCGGTGAGATGAAAATCATTTTGTTCTAACTGGCGTGTTGAACTGATTGCATATAAAAGTATCACTTCTAAAAAAATAAAAAAAAAATAAAAAAAACGGAACGCTATTTCACCGCGCATTTTCCATTTTGTTATAGAACCATCCGAGAATTTTTCTTGTGACATCAAATGAGAGCAACCTATTTCGAAGTACAAGCGGAGAAAATCCTTTCTTAATTTTAGAGCGTTGTGAAAGTATAAAAATTTATTATTGTTTTTGTATTTATAAAAAATTTAATGTAAATGAATAAAAAATTGTGAGTTTCCAAATATGTGATCGTTTAATATCTTTCTTTGTTGGTGATTTTTTGCAATTTTACATAGAAGAAAATCTGGAAGTACTTTATTGATCTCCTTGGGAAAATTGATCTCTATATATTATTCTGACACTCTGGAAAGTTCTAATTTTCTTTTATATTGCCAATAATATTTATTTTTAAAGATAGGAAATATCAAATGTGATTTTAATAACACTGATAATAATAGAGAGCAGGTATATTTTATCTTCCGAAATATCTTTTTCGTACTCGGTAAAAAATTTTTTGTATATTGTATAATATAATCATATATATTACAATATAATAACGCGATAAAAATTTTTTTGTGCATGAATATGTATAAACATACATAAATATTAAATAAGTAAGCATAATATTACTCGAATGTTTGCACCGCAAAACAATGTATCTTAATAATGATCAATAAATGAGCAAAGAGAAGTTTGATTAATTATTTAATATGTGTCTTGAAAAATATATGTTTCGACTCACAGACCCATCAGTATAATAATCGTAAAACCTTTCTAGTGTATAAACTTGACTGGCAATCATCTTGGGAATTCGTCAATAACAGCTTTAACCAGACTTCTTATTTCTTATTAAAAATATATTTCATTTCACATCATTTTTTACATCTTGATTATTATAATATTAATGTCACTAGACTTAACATCGATTCTTATCTAACGAGGATTATAGAAATTTTACATCTTGATCACAATTATTATGGATATATGTACTAGAAGTATATTCAAAGACGCCTATGAGTTATGGAATGTAATCGTCTTTATGAACGATTTAAATTATTGTCAATTATAGTTTTATGTACTGGAATGTAAGGTTTTACGATTATTATACTGATGAAGGCTCCGTGAGTCGAAATGTATATTATATATTAATTTCAAGAGATATATTAAATAATTTATTAATCAAACATCTCTTTATGCATCTTTAACATCTTGTTTATTGGTTAATGTATATTCTCTATTGCGATATATAAATATTCATAACATGCATAATCATATATATAAAATATGTCTACACATGTTCATACATTTCTCTCTTTCTTTTATAAAATTATTTTTTAGTGTAATAGAAATAATAATAGTAATGTGAAAACATAAAAAATAATTAAAGAGATAATTTTCGCATTGTTCGTTTTAGAAAGAAAAACAAGTTTGGAAAAATGTAAAACAATTGCTCATACACAATTACACATAATTTTATACATAATTATAATATAAATAATTTTTTTACATTTCTTCAAATTTGATTTTTTCTAAAACAATATAAATAGTAAAAATTACCTTTTTAATTATTTTTAATGTTTTCAGACTACTATTATTATTTCTATTACACTAAAAAGTAATTTTATAAAAAAAGGGATGTATATGAACATGTGAGAACATATATAATTATACATATTTATGAATATTTATGTATATTTATACATATTTATACATATTCATGCACGAAAAATTTTTTACCAAGAATATAAAGATAGATATATATATAATCCATTATATTAGATTGATCAAATAAAAAAATGACAAGTGTTATAGTAATCAGTCCTGGCATAATATTAAAACATTTGTTATGTATTGTATATTCGGCATTATGTACACAACGTTACGTGCGCATGACTTGTCTGTGATGTTACTCATCCTTGAATAGGAGGCATTGATAATAAACACAATTAATTATTATACGAGGGCAAGTCAATAAGTTCTTAAAAAATCTGTCAGAGGGCATTCGCAGTGTCATGTCATATTACTTTTTGACAAGTAGTATCTTTCAGCTGATTACTGTCAAATTTTGAGCGAAATTTATCGCGTGGTTTCATTTCTGTAAACGATTAAAGCGAACAATCATTGTATTTTTTGCAAAATGGGTTACGTGCAGTGATCAAATATCTACATATAAAAGATTTAACGCCAAAAGAAATCAAAGAATAGGATAAATTCATAGCACATATCCACCAGCGTTTGCGACTGTATACAATTGGGTGAATGAATTTAAATGTGGTCGTACATCCACATGTGATGCACCTCATTCACGTCCAATTGAGGTTGCTACACCAGAAATCATCGATAAAGTCCATGATATTGTTTTAACTGATCGACGAGTGAAAGTGCGCCAGCTTGTTGAGGCCACAGGCATATCACATGACACAGTAGTTTCAATTTTGCACGAACAATTGGGTATGAAAAAACTATTGGTAAGATGGGCCGCGTTTGTTCACTGTAGACCATAAGCGCGACCGTGTGACGATTTCAAAACAATATTTGGAGATGTTTCAACGTAATACAGATGAATTTCTGGATCGATTCATTACTGTGGATGAATTCATTACTTCACACCCGAGACGAAGGAACAGTCAAAACAATGAACTTCATCGAGTGAACCAGCTCCGAAGAAGACGAAGATCGTGAAGTCGGTCGGAAAGGTGATGGCTACAGTTTTTTGGGATGCACGCAGTATAATTCACATCGATTACCTTCCGTCGAAGCAAACAATCAATGGCGATTACTACGCAGCCTTATTGGATGTTTTAACAACATTTAAAAAAAAAAATGTCTACATTTGGCGAAGAAGAGAGTGCTCTTCCATTAAGATAATAAACGGATTCACACGTGCCCGGTCAAATTTAATAAATTCCGCTACGAATTGCTGTCTCATCCAGCATATTCGCCAGATTTAGCCCCCTGCGACTATTTCCAACCTGACGAAATGGTTCGAAGGAAAGAGATTCACTACCAGAGAGCAGCTCATCGTCGAAACAGAGGCTTATTTTGAAGAGTTGAACAAATCATATTATTCGGACGGCTTGAAAAAGTTGAAGAATCATTGGATTAAGTTTATCGAGCTGAAAGGAGACTATGTTGAAAAAAATAATAAAAATGAATCGATAAAAAAAAAATGTGTTTTACTATGTTTTTCTAAAAACTTATTGACTTGCCCTCGTACCTTCGAGTTTACTCAACATTCATAAACATGCATAATTATATATACACTCAACCGACTATAGACCTCGGGTTGAGTACGGATGTGTAGTGTTGTGACGACGATAATAGCAATTTGTACAATTGAATGCAAATCAGTTTTCATATTTTCAGTGTATTAATAAATAATTTAACTCTTTTAAGGTTAGATTATCATGACAACAAAGAATATATAATATTAAAAGGATTAAATTATTTATTACTGAAAATGTATAAATTAATTTGCTACTTTGTGTTAAGATGTGTCAAGCAATTGGAAAGCACCCCGCACAACATTTTTCATTGCAAATATATATTAAACATATAATATCTATGTTATATTAATTTTGCGTTTCATTTCATATCAAATATAATGTATTAAATACGTAATTAAAGCAATGAATGTAAAATATCAAAATCGAAATGCATATATAATATATTCTTGAGGCTTCCATGGGTGCTTTCTATATAAATATTATGCGTTTTGTGGGTTTTCTCCGTATCCAGATCCATTCTTGGAATGCCAACGTTTCGTGAACCTTGCAGTCCACTTCATCAGACCAAGGAGCAGTCTGATACTGAGCTATTTCTCCGGGCCGTCTTTTCTATTACATTGCTTGTTGGAGTGGGGGGAAAGAAGAGAATTGTATGTGGGGGTGGGGGTGAGAGAGGTGGGGGAAATTGGTCAATTTTCAATAATCGAAAGAATGGTTTTCCATATTTTATTTATGTTATCTCTATTTAGATTGTTAAGGTGTTTTTGTATCTCTATGGCTTCTCTATACTTTCTTAAAAAATATGATATAATGTTGGTTATTGTGCTCGTTTTGTCAAACAATATTTTATGTCCTGTTTCGATGTTGTGTTCTGATAATGTCGATTGCATGGCGTGTTTTAGCCTCACGTTGTTCTTTTATCCATAGATTGACCATTCTCCCAGTTTCTCCAATGTATATTGCCCGCAGGAACAAGGTATTTTGTATATTCCTGCGAAACTAAGTGGAAGTCTTTGATCTTTAGGATTTCTTGTATAAGCGAGCTAATGGAAACTGCAGAGAAACTCAATGTCTCTATCAACAAATCTTCCCTCAAAGACGATACCCTGTTAAAGATATCTTCGGTTCGGTTCATCGTCCACTTAAGGAAACAGGATCTTTCTTACCCAATACAGTTAATCGAAGACCAAGCATAATCATTCGAGCAATCGAGGAGCAAGTGATTAGACGAGTCACAGAAAATCTAAGACTTAGTAGGAGATAGATCGCATTAGAAATGCAAAACATTTCTTTCTCAACTATGTAGAGGATATTAAACGAAGTTCTTTTGCATCCTTTTGCATACAACGAGTACAAGCAAATTAGCCATCACGAGTAATTTTTGATCAATGATATTTACAACAGTATACTTTTCTAAATTTTGAAATGTCGATACTTTTCACAGACAAAGCAAATTTTTCGCAGGATGCTATAACAAATTATCATAATAATCATCTATGGTCATACGAAAATCTGCATGGTACTATTGAATCTCAGCATCAGCATAAGTTTTTGTACAATATATAGGCTGGTATTATTGGAGATTTCCTTCTTGGAACGATTTTTCTCTCACCTACATTTAATGTTAACAATTACAGACAATTTTTGGAAATGCAACTTCCTCTAATATTAGAAGGCGTTCAATACGCAACCAAATGCATGATAAACGATGGAGCTTCAGCACATTTCAGCCGCACTGCTCGAGAATTCCTGAATAATAATTATATCAATAGATGGATTGATAGAGGAGGATCCATTGCTTGATCTGCACGTTCTCTCAATTTGAATCCTTTGGATTTTTATTTATATATATATATATATATATATATATATTAGGTCATTTATTTCGAAATCGTATTATCACTGCGTGTGAAAAAATACGAAATACTCCGAGAATTTTCGACAATACATGCGACGTCAATGCGAAGCATGCATCGGTGTAGAAGGAAATCATTTCCAGCAATTTCTGTAATGAAAATATAAATATAAGTATGAAATAAAAAATAGATACAAGTATAAAATAAAATATAGGTATAAGTATAAAATAAAAAATGTTTATAACTTGGAAAGAAAGCGTTTCCGAACTCATGTTTATATGACTTTTCTTCATCCTTACAATGAATGGAATATGCTCTTAAAATGTGGCCAACTATTTCTGAAACACCTTATATAATATCATATGTATTTGTACATAACGTAAATTATGTATCTATACAGAGGACATTCATCGGTATTAAACATGTATCTGATACATAATTCATACGTATTGCTACGA